TTGTTGAAGTTTCTCTCTTCACTCTCTCTGTGGACTTCAGTTTGCTCCTCAGGTCCTTCCTGGGTGCAGGGGACCCACTTCCCTCCCTCTCATCTTCCTCCTGTTGCTATATTCCAGCATCTGGATGGCAACACTCAGAGAGGCTCTTTCTCTGCTGCTTTCCACTCTGCAATCTTGGTGCCTCCCGCTTGGCCAGACTTCAGTAAAGAGGATTTTCCCAGAAGTCCCCCACCAGACCTTCCCTCATGTTTTCTTGGCTAGAGTTTTATTGCATATTCATTTTTTTTCCCTTCTTGGTTTTTAAATTAATTAATTCATTTCTTTAGAGATGGGGACTTGCTATGTAGTTCAGGCTGGCCTTGAACTCACGGCAATCCTCCTGCCTCAGTCTCCTGAGTGCTGGGCTTACAGGTGTGCACTACCAAGCCTGGCTTCCAATGTTTTTTTTATTTTATTTTAACTTTATTTTTTGAGACAGAGTGTCACCATGCAGTTCAGGCCGGCCTTGAACTCCCTTTATAGTCTAGGCTGGCCTTGAACTCACAGCACTTTTCCTGCCTCAGCCTCCCTAGTGCTGGGATTGCAGGTGTGCCCCACTACACCCAGCCCACATATCCACTCTTAAGACATTGGAGATGACTTGTGCTTTGGGTCTCAGTCCTACCTCCCTTAAAGGCTATGTCTTCCTGGGGCCTGTACAAAATTTGGGTTTATTTAGCAAGAAAGAAATGGGGGATATGTAACTTAAAGTATTGGTCCAGCAAATGTAGCTAAGATCTAAAATAACAGTGACTTCAGATAGTAGGAACCTTATTTCTCTCTTACACAGCATCTAATCATAAACTGTCAGGGCTGGTGTGGGTGTTCTCTGGTGCCAGGAACCCAAGATCTTTCTCTGTGATCATTTTGACATTTCTATGCCACTGTCCGCAGCTGTATGTTCCAAGAAATTGCCTCATCACACCTGCTTTCCAGCAGAAAGTGGGTAAGGGCAAGGCACATCCCTTCCCTTTCAGAGCACAACCCGGAAATGGTTATTGTATTCATACTTCATTGGTAGGACCTAGTCACATGACTGTGTGTAGTTGCAAAGGAGTCTGGGAAATAACTGTGCTATTATAAAAGAAAGTGGAGAGTCAGAGTAATTTACACTAGTGTTTTCCACTCTTTGGGTCTGAGGTTTGGTGCTACTAATGTGGAACCAAGTCACAGTTTGGTTAGGAAGAAGGGAGGATGGTTATTGAAGCACTCAGTCTCTACTCGAAGCTATAATGGCCATATTTTTTATAGTTTTCCTATTGCCTTGACTTACTAGGTCACTGTTAAAGATTGTCACCTGTTAAACAATTTCTGTGGCTATGGTAAACAGAATTCAGATCCATATCATGAGAAACACCTCAATAAAAACAAAAGAGTTTATATCAATAATAAATGTTGATGAAATGAAAAAAGAAAGCAAGAGAGAAAAAAGAGAAACTCTCATCTTATTGCTGAGCATGGGGATGAACACCTCTAATCATAGCACTGGGAGGATAAGGCATGAGGATCACAAGTTCAAGCCCAGCCTGGGGACTTCAGTGATTTAGTAAGACTTTGTCACAAAATATAAAAGGGCTGGGTATATGGGGGAGGAAGACCCTGGGTTCAATCTCCAATAGAAAAAAAAGGAGAAAAAAAGGAAGAATAGAAGGAAAAAGAAGAAACTCACAAATTTGTGGGCTCTGATTTCAAATCCTCGGTTCTTCATTTACCAGCTAATAATGGAATTGGATGAACTGAACACTCTGAGAATCAGTTCTACTTTTTTTTTGTTTGAGACAGGGTCTCCCAACATAGTCCAGGCTGGCCTTGAACTCACTATGTATCTCCTGCTGGCCTCAAACTCCCAGTAATCCTCCTGCCTCAGCCTCCCAAGTGCGGGGTTAACAAGGGTGCACCATTGTGCCTAGCTGGGAATCTATAATGCTATTCTGAGGATGAGAAAAAACTCTGAGACTAATAAGCTTCTCCTAGGACCTGGAATATGGTAGGTATCTAATTATAGGGAGATAGATAATTAGCCCCCAGATAACCTTATCAAACCACAACAACATAATCATGGGGTTCTGGCCAGGTGCAGTCATAGCCTCTGGCCTCTGTTTCTCCTCCTTCTTCCCCAGGAAGCCTTTCCCAGACATCTCAGCCCACAATAATATATTTACTTTTAGTCTCAGCTTGTTAGTGCTACATAACAAATCATTCTAAAAATTAGTGTCTTGAAAACAATGATAGGTTTTATTTTGCTCATAAGTCAGTGTGGGCTTGGCAATGGAGTTTGAGAAAATCAAACACCGGGTGTTGGAACAGATACTCTCCAGTATCTCTATCATAGAGGTGTAGTCTCTCCAGAACAACAGATTCAAGTATAGCCAGACTTCTGACTTGGTGGCTCAGGCCCCAAAGTCCCATGTTCTAAGAACAAGAAAATCATGTGGGCCGGGCATGGTAGCACATGCCTATAATCCCAATGACTCAGGAGGCTGAGGCAAGAGGATCATATATTCAAGGCCAGCCTGGGCAAGTTAGAGAGCTTCAGTCTCAACATTTAAAAAAGAGGGGGCGTGGGGTTGTAGTGCTGTAGTAGAGCACCCCAGGGTTCCATCCCCATTGAGAGAGAGAGAGAATTAGGTAGAAGCCACAGTTCCTTTTATGATCTAACCTCATAAGTTACAACCTCACTTCTGCTTCCTGCTGTTTGTTAGAAGTGACTCATTAAGGTATTGTATCATCTTCTCTTGTCTATAAAGTGAAGGCCAATTCACAACCACAAGTCTGCATTTCTGCCTGCAGGAGAGAAAAAGAAGCCTAGAGGGCAAGCCAGAAATAGCTTCTTAAGAACTGACCCGGAAGCAGTAGCTGTCACTTATAGCTTCATCCTATTGGCCAGACCTGGTCACAAGGTCACAGTGAGGTACAAGGTATGCTGGGAAATGTAGTGTTTATTAAACAGCTGTGTCCCAGCCCAAACTTGGGAGATGCTGTATTACCATTGTCCCTTGGAGTCTGTAGAACATTGGTTACAGGAACCCTGTGGATACCAGAATCCATGGTCATTCAAGTCCCTTCTATAAAATAGCTTTATTATTGGCATAGAACCTACGAATCCTCTAAGATAAACTGTCTCTAGATGGCTTATAGTACCTCAGACAACGTAAACTCCATGTGCCTAGCTGTTATATTGTATGGTTTACTGAATAATGACAAAAAGTCTATATGTTCAGAGTGTTTTCTTTTAAACCAGGCATGGTGGTGCACACCTATAATCCCAGCACTTGGGAGGCTGAGACAGGAGGATTGCCATGAGTTTGAGGCCAGCCTGGACTACATAGTGAGTTTAAGGTGAACCTCAACTACAGAGTGAGACCCTGTCTCAAAAACAAAAACAAAAACACAAAAGACATTTTCTTTTTTATTAGTGTATACTTGTGATGCATAATAATTATATTCACCTTGGGAACTGGTACGTACGCATACTGCATCTTTATCATTTTTACTTCCCTTTCCCCTCCCCACCCTCCTGTGTCTGTCCATACCTAGATCCTACACCAATTTTTTCCCCCACACCAGTTTACAAATCTGTCTCATTTCCCATCATCCATCTTTTATTTTGCTTTTTAAGTTATTTATATCTTAGATTTCTCATATAAGTGAAACTATACAATATTTAACCTTCTACATCTGATTAACTTCATTTAGCCTTATGATCTCAAAGTACATCCCATTGTCCTGCAAATGGCTCAAGTTTATTCTTTGTAGCTGGGCTTGGTGGCGAACACCTGTAATCCCAGCACTTGGGAGGCTGCAGCAGGACAATCGCCCAGAATTTGAGGCCAGCCTGGGCTACATAGGGAATTCAAGATCAGCCTGATTTACAAAGTGAAACTCTGTCTCAAAAAACAAAAAACAAAAAACTTATCCTTCTTTATTGCAGAATAATATGCCACTGTGTGTGTGTATGTGTATGTGTATAACATTTTCTTTATACATTCGTGTAACTGGACTATGTTCAGAATATTTTCAAATTGCAATGGTTCAGTTGATGGTTATGGAAGCAAGGGATATGAAGTACTTCTTTCCAACAAGAAAAGGTAAGGAATATATGTGGGTTAGCAATCAGTCTTTGCCGCTTTTTTTTTTTTTTTTTTTTTTTTTT